ATGTAGAGTGTATGAGAAAGAGTAAGAAGAAATACATCTGGAAAGATAAGCTGGAGCTAGATTATGAAGGGCCTTCAGTGCCAACTGAGTATTCATTTTCTTGTCCTAGAAGCCAAAGAGAGCAACCGAGTCTTCCCGAACAGGGGAGCAACATGGTAGACCTGTGATGTAAGTGTATAAATTCAGCACTATAGTGGATTGGATTGGCGAGAGACCTGAAACAGGGAAACTAATTTATGATAATTATTAATATTTCTATAGCACTTTAAGGTTTGCAAAACATTTTACATATGTTATCTCATTTGATCCTCACAACTTTGCTATGATGTAGGTGTTATTATTATTATTATTATTATTATTTTGGTGGCAACTGGGGTTAAGTGACTTGCCCAAGGTCATACAACTAGTAAGTGTTTGAGGTCAGATTTGAACTCAGGTCCTCCTGACTCCAGGGCGGGTGCTCTATTCACTTCCCCTCCTATCAGTGCCCTTATAGGTGCTACTATTACACCAGTTTTACAGATTAAGAAACTGAAGCTCAGACAGATTAAATGACTTGTCTAAGGTCACACAGCTGGTAGGTTATTTGAACTTAAGTATTTCTGATGCCAAGTCCAACATTCTAAACACTTTGCCATTTAGCTGCAATTGTAATAGCAACGGATGATAGGGACCTAAACGAGGTTGGTGACTCTGTGAATGAAGAGAAGGAACAAATGCGGGATATGTTGGGGCAACCAATTGGATACACAGAGTAAAGAAGAAAGAAGCGTCAAGAGGTTGCAAATCTTTGTGACTTGAACAACGATAAGTACACTTTACAGAAATAGATCGTTTAGGAAGGAGGACAGGTTTGAGGGGAGGAAAATAATGAATTGAGATTATTTCAGATATTTTCCAGTTTGAAATGCCAACGGGACAACCAGATGGTGACATCCAGCAACTAGTAATACAAGGCAGTAATACAAGGCTGGACTTTAGGAGACAGATAAAAAAGATTTAGGAGTCATCTGCATAGTCTTTTTTCTTATGTCAGTAACTACTAACAATGGACCATCTAGCTAGGAATATTTGAAGAACGTGATAGACACCTCTGAATGCCGGGGAAATAAGGACTCCACTTAGCTCCTAGTGTGTGGCACTGTTCCATCTCAGGACTTTCCATGCATTTACGTGGATTGATTTTGAGACTAGATATTTGACCTAGGCTTTGCTGGAAACTGTCTTTCCTCTGGGTCACTCCATGGTCAAGTCCTTGGAAGGTTCATGGTGCCACTTGTTTCCAAATCCTTTTATTTAAAAAATGGAAATCCTCTCACCAATTTAAACATCTCCTATTGGCACCAAATCTAGCTGAAAGTCAACATAATTATTGAACAAAACAGTAAAAATGGCCACATCCTGATTATGTAGAGTTTAGGTTTTGGGTGATCTCAACCATCCAAAATACAGGTGAGAATCAGGAAACAAGCAAAAGAAATCTCTGAACAGTAGAAGTTGGCATCAGAATGCCTATGCATGAATGTTCTGGCATTAGAGTTCAATTCAATTCAATGAACAAGAATTTATCAAGTTCCTACTTTGTGCAAGATATTGTGCCAGATGCTGTGAAAAGGGGAAAAAAAACCCAGCCCCTAAACTCAGGGTAAAAGCAAAATTTACACAAAAAATGGAAATATAATATAAAAGGAGGAAAGCACTAATAATTAGAGGGTCAGGAAAGGCTTCTTAAGATGAGCCTTTAAGGAAGTTAAGGGGTAAAAATAAGGAGAGAGTTTATTCCAGGCATTCAGGACAGCCTGGAAAAAAAGCATTTGAAGTGGCAAATAGAAATCTGAGTTCAGGCCAGTTTGGGGTGAATAGATTTATAAGGGACATAATGTGAAATTCTGGAAAGGGAGACTGGATACCAACTGTAAATGCCTTCAAATACTAAGCCAAATATTTTGTATTTTATCCCAGGGGCAATTTGATGGAAGCCACAGAAGGATCTTGAGTGGGGGACTGATATGGTCAGATCTGTACTTTAAGAAGATTATTGTATCAACTGTGTATAGGATGCAATGGAGAGAGAAAAGATTTTAAGCAGAGAAGCCATTTAAAGGACCAGGTGAGGGGTGATAAGAGTCTCTACAGGGTGATGGTTGTGTGAGTGGAGAACTAGGACAGAATGAAAAGATGTTGCAACGTTTGAATTGACAAGACTTGGCAACTGGTTATATATGGTGGGTGAGGGAAAGGAAGGAGTCGAGGTTAACTACGAGGTAATAAACCTGGGTGATGGGAATGCTGATTGAGGATGATGGTGTCCTCAAAGGAAATAGGAATTTTGGAAGAGGAGAAGATTTAGAGGGGAAGATAGTGAGTTGTGTTTGGACATACTGAATTTGAGATGTTTGTGGGATATCCAGATGGAGATAATGGACTGAAATTCAGGAGGGAGATGTGGTCTGGATATGTAAATTTTGGTGGTCTGACAGAAGCTGGATGATCATTTGCTAGGGCTACTATAGGAATGACCTCTATCATGTTCTCTTTGAACTCAGAATCTATGACTTGCTTTGCTAAAAGAGATGCTCAGAACCCGTCAACATTTATTTTGAACACCATTCCAACAAAAATGAGTTTTTGATTTCTTATGCTACAGAATATTATGTATATGTTTTTAAAAATAAAACCCACAGAGAAACAACGTAAGTAGCCACTGACAGAGAGGGGGAAAAGACGTTAAAGCTACTACAGCTCAGCATAGTGCAGTTATTAATAATTATAATGATGACTGAGTCACCAAGAAATCATATTTATCTTACTCTGAGAAGGCAGGGAATTGTGCCTGACTGGGATTTTTATAAAAAAAATTATTAAAAATTAAAAGATTTTGACATTTAAATGGGTAAACTTCATTTATCTGAAAGGTGTTCACGTAAGAGAACACTTATCTCATTATTTAAAGGGTGATAAAAATAACATGCTGTTACAAATGTTTCTTAAACTATTGAGTCTCATATTTGGAATAATAAATCATATGAAGTTTTAAAAGTTCTTTTCCTGTTGGCATAAGTGTAGTTGAGGCTGGCATTAGAATTATCCCACAAAAACAAATGCTCCCATTCTAAAATCTTGATAAATTTTAGGTGAGTAGTCTGACAGCTGCAAAGAGAATGAATCAAATTTTCCATAGCTCCTATCACCATTTTTGCTTGCAGAAATGCAAATGTACTTGAGATGAGAAGCATTTTGAAAAGATTACTAAGTCTCTAGAGGGATTTTTAAAATGATCATTAAATTTTATTATATAGTAGTAACTTTTAACAATATTATTTTCATTGCAGCCTGAAGTGGTGAAATTCTAGTCAAGGGAAAGGAGTTCAAACTTCTTTGGGTCTGTTGGAAATGTTGCTTTCTCAAAAACCCAAGGGATAATTTCAAAAGGAAACTTTAATCTATTAAAAAGCCTCAAAAGAATCGCCATCAGATAATGTTAGCTGATTCTAATCCTTTAGCATGTGAAATCAGTTATAATGATTTCCACTGGTATCAAGCAAGACATATCAACTTCAAGAACAAAGAAGTCCCACTAAAAAGAGACTTGGCCAAAAATATGGAGATCATTTTTTCTAAAAATTAAAAAGCATCCAAATATTCCTATTAATGTCATGATATATGGGTTATACATATTTTCAGAAAATATACTATCCTAAACCTGAGAGTCCTGAATGCATTTCATCCCAACATAAAATTCAACTGTGCAAATATGTCTTTCATATGTGATCTTTCTACAATTTATCCAAGACTGATGCTTGATGGATTTTAGGTACTTTAAAATGAAGGTATTCTACATAAGAAGCAACTAACTTCTAAAACGCTAAATAAGAAGACTAGGCATTTTGGTGATTTCTTATGTTTCCCTTCATTGTTATTTCCTCTTAATCTCTGCTTTTGATGACCCTCCATTTCTACTCCTCAATTCATCCAGAGTAAACACTGATGATCTTATGATTGTTTTGTGGAGATGAATTATACTAATTTAAGGTTCCCCCTCATCCCACAATTAACTTGTAATCCTAAATGAAAAACAATATGTGACAATCTTTGAAGAACTTATTATAGAGAAACCCGAGCTAGCATCAGACAAAGAATTCACAGGATTCAAATGAATGCTTTCTCAGCTTCATTTGCTTCATCCATAAATGAGGGGAAGAAGGGTTCATTACATGATCCCTGAGGTCCTTATCAGCTCTAAATGGGTCTTGGAAAACAGGGATGGGAAACACATCCTTGGTTTACATGAACTGCCAAGCATCTACTATCACTTCAATAACTTAGGACTTTTAGCATCAGAAGAAGTACAAACATTTAGATTTAGCAGAAGTTGTTATTAAGGTAAAGACCATTAGAAATGGTGGCAAAGTCCTCTAGCAGACTAGGTAGATATTCTATGAGGGATCTATAGAAGGACATGAACAAGAAAATCATAGTGTGAGAAGGGATAGATAGTTTATAATCTGTGCCAATGGAAATAGTGCCTGTATCACTGAAGTCATGGATCTGTCAAAATATTTAGAGATCATTTCCTGGGAGTAGAATTACTTCTTTTTTTTCCCATCAAAGTGACCCCCTGAATGCGAAGAGATTATTTGAAATTCCCCAAAATGATAATGGGTAATTTCCATGGCACATGAGCAAATTTAAATTTACGTAGGTAATTTTAATTGTAGCAAAATACTAAACATAGTTTATCCAAACAAAAAGAAAATGACCAATGAGCATGTCAGTATTGGCAATTTATTTCATGCTGTAGAATCTTGCTATCTCTTTGTCCATCATAAATAATTTTAGAAATAAGTTAGTTTTAAAGATCTAAGAAATACCAGCATAACCAAAGAGTTACTCAGGTGATAACCATTACAATGTCTTCCCAAATTATTCCCTCATTTGTCCCTGATAAAGACAGAACTTTCAATGTCAGTGCTCACTTCCCAAGCATCACTTGAGCTTACCTGGAGAGTTCTGAGGTGAGGACACAGGGGAACTGCGCGGGGACTGGCAATAGCTGGGGTGGAGTAAGGCATGTGGAGGCACATATGACATTATCTCTTCTTCGAATAAACTAGGAAAGACCAGAGAGGAGAAATTGACTACCACCAGAGGCCAAAATCCCTTACTTTTAAAATTCTGAATATGACAGTTATTCTCACTCTATCATAATGTGACTACTATCAATCTTCTTCCATTCCAGAGGACTTAGGTTATATTCAGCCCCCCAGGGGAGGGGTCTTTCATGTTATTTTTGTGAAGGAAAATAAAAGTCTTCTTGACTCTTCTTTAAAAGAGGTGGGAATTTGTTCAGGAGGTTTTTTTTTTTTTTGACCAATTATATGCAGCATTCATCCAACCTCTGAAATTAAACTATTTTTGCTTCAACTATGTATTTCTGGATTTTAAGTGTTACATTTTAAGACTTACCACAGCAGGACTTCAAGATTTTGGGGGGAAATCAAAAGGAAATCAAAGGAATAGAAAATTTTGAGTGCCTTTCTGTATGCCAGGTATTGTTGAGCCCACAAAGAAGTCTATGACATAATCCCTGCCCTCAAAATATTTACATTGTAGGTATGTGATGAAGTGGATAAAACACTAGACTTGGAGTCAGGAAGACCTGAGTTCAAATTCAGCCTCAGAAACTTATTAGCTGTGTGTTCCTGGGCAAATCACTAAACTGTCTGTCTCAGTTTCCTCATCTGTAAAATGGGGATAATAATAGTGCCTATCTCCAAGGGTTGTAGTAAGGATAAAATGACATAATATTTGTAAACTGATTTATAAATATTAAAGTGATTTAAGTGCTAATTACTGTTATTGTTCATTATTATTATTATTATAAGAAATATAACAATGTTTTTCTTGGCCTTCTCTTCTCCCTACAAATAATTAACATCTCTATTTTTTATTTCATCCTACTTTTACAAATATGTAGGAGCACATAACACTAGTACAGTCAGTAACATTCTTTTCCCTTCAGAATGGTTTTGCTTATATTATTCTCCCAAGGATATTAATTAATACCTAAAGAGAAGCTTGGAATATAGGAATCCTAGACTTTCTTTTCCAAAATTATAATGATGGAGAATTGAGTCGATTTTTAAAACTCATTATTTATCTCAAGATAGATACAGACATGCACAAAGATTTCACAATAGATTAGTTTGCAATTTATTTATATATGAATGCAGAAATATGTATCTACATGCTATTTTTATTCTTTTAAACTTGGGAAATTATGATGTGCATTCTTTCCTGCTTACTGATAAAATTCAATAACTAATCATTTCTAAAGATGAGTACTGAAATTGCTTTCTAAAAAAGGAGTTATCTACAGGGTCTGAGCATATTTTATATGAGATGAATTTTTGAAAGGACTAATGAAATTGAATGAGCTATAATAAGTCCGAGTTAGTCCATTTAGAATCCTCTGTTCATGTAAAACACACAGTGAGGAGAAAAAGATTTATTTTAAACTGAAATGATTTCCTTGAGCAATAATCTTGAAATTACAGCTTTATCATAATCTTTTTCCCTTTACCATAAATGATTTTCCTTTTAAGAAATATAACCATATGGAAACACACACTCTCCCTTACCCTTTCATTTGTGGATAAATTATTTGAGCATCAATCAAATCACTGAAACTTCAAAATATAATAAAAATAAATGCTGAAGAACTGAAGCATAAAGTTATGAAGGCAACTTTCCACTCTTCAGTTGGCACAGTGATTAAACATCCAGGTGTGCTGAGTTGCTTATTAGAAATTAATCACCCCATAAAAATCCTAGAGGTTAAAACAAATTGCCATTCTTATCTAAAGTCTTTTTTTCCTTTTCAGTTAGAGAATAGTGTGTATAGGTAACTTGTCCTCCCTTTTTCTAAAATGCCCTTGAGTTTTTTCCACAGGAAAAAATATTAACTTGTTCTTTCAGTATGAATGAACTTCAAAATCACTTGTTTGGCTAAAGTAAATAATGGGAAAGACATTTATCAATTTTTCTATTCCTCTAAAGTGCATGGCTTAAAATATTTAGCATCCTACCCTGAAGCTCATTAAAGTGTAGATGGTGACTGGTATTTTCATCAGTTTGGCTATGACACATTTTTTCCTGTCTCCAAGAATAAAAATGTTCCATTTAGATTTCAGTGATGCAAACCAGGGTGTGTTGAGTGAAATTGAGCAGTTGTGTTCTCACTTGATTGTTGTTACATAAATGATTTGGGGGATGACCAAAAGGTGGTAGAATGCATAGAATATATATGAATGCACACAACTTTTCCCCTAAATACCTAACATACCATGTCCTATGTTAAGAACCACCTCAGTCTGTCAGTCTCCCTAAAATACAATCTCTCAGAAATAGTGACTATTTGGAGACTCATTAGTAAACCTCTTAAGACTGATGAAAATATGTGATATTTTGAAGCCACAGGAACTCTGTTGCATGAACCATTTGTCTTCTATTATAACTCCTTTAAAATTTGGATTGAAAAAGCTTCCACTACTGAAGTTGTTGAACATGTTTTTAAAGGTATATACAAGGACCACAGGTTGACTGTAGAGAGAACCAATAGGGATTTATTTATTTTGGTAGACTGATGATTTCATTAGTGTAGGAAATTTCTGGATGAAAATTCTCTCCACTAATGCAAATCAGCAACTCATCTTTAATTTATAATCTTAGAAAGTTGCCTGGGCCACTGTGCCCATGATCACATAGCTTATATAGTATTTGAACTTAAGTCCTCTTGACTCCAAGGCTATATCCATTACATAAGAATGCTTTTCAACTCTTTACTATGCTTAAAAATGATATTTGCCAGGCAGCTATTTTGCTAGTATAATAAGCCTCATTTTGCCAAGAATTCCAACTTTACTATCCCCCAAGGCAAGAGTATAGTCCTCTGTTAGTAGACACTAATTTTAAATCTGAGTATCAATGGAATTCTATTTTTCAGGAGCTGCCTCATAAATTAACTTCAGTTCTAACAGTTATAAGACGCTACCTTATTTTCCCCTCCAAACCACTTGCTGTAATTTTAAATTAGATGTCATGGCACCTCTGTGAAGGTTTAAAAATAAATTTAATTATTGCCTTTGCTGGCATTTTTTCATGGGTTTCATGAGATATTATCAAGTAGCATACCACATTATGAAAAGGATCTGTAAACTCTCAATTAAACAGATTTTGACTACTGCACAAGGAAGAACAATATAATTTTATTTTAGTTTTAGAAAAAGGTAGTTGGAGGCAGAGCTAGGAGAAAGGGATGAGAATTGCAAAAAGTTCAATTTAAAATTGATGTTAAGGGAAAAAAATTAAAAAACCAAAAAACTTCCTAACAATTAGAGCTAGTCCAATGTGGCATGGATTGCCTAGAGACTTCTTTCTTGGAAGAAAGGCTGGATTCCTCCTTCAAGCAGAAGCTGGATGACCATTTGTCATAGGGGGGGATTCCTCTGGTCACTAAACTCCCTTCTAACTCTCAAATTCTGTGATTCTGTGAAGCATCAGGCAATCAATTACCAGAGTCAGCTGGGATACACTTGGCCACAAGAGCAATACTAAAGTGTCCCTCCAGCTCTTATCTACCTCTGGAATAAATTTTACATTTCTTGAATGGCGTAGTAAGAATTTTCTATATTGTTCTATGATTGGTGTTGGGCTTCCTAAACACTGAACATAGCCATTACCCTTTTCTAGACAGATTATAAATGACAATGATTATTGATGACTTCTTGCCACTTCTCTCCAAACACAAGTCTTATCAATAACAATGGAGACAACATTGGTCATAGCATGTTTAAGAACTTTCAAGTTGGTATTTAGCATTATTGGCAAAATAATAACTCAGGTTCCAAATTTCCACATATAAGCTCTCCAAAACACACAAAAAGTGGATAAGTTGAAATAGCAGAGGGATGCAAAGCACATTTTGGGGATCTATATGACAGTAAAAGGTGACAATAATCTTAGTTTGCTCTGAAAAACTATAACTATCCATTCTTCTAGTTCCTCCTCTGAATAAGAGTTAGTCTGGATTGTTGATGCACTAAATTCCCTTTGTAGAATTTTGCCTCTTTTATCTTTCCATCCTTTTCTACTTCTTCTCCCAATAATGTATAATATATAATTATAATAATAATAAATATAATAATAATATAATAATAAATAATAAAATAAAGATAAGAAGAATGTCACTTCAAAATGATCATGAATTTAAATACATAATTATAATAATAATAAATATAATAATAATAATATAATAATAAATAATAAAATAAAGATAATAAGAAGAATGTCACTTCAAAATGATCATAAATTTAAAGCCAGGAAAGGATCTTGGAGTTGCTTCTAGTCTAGCCCCTTCATTTTAGAAATGAGTAAACCAAGATAGGTAAAGTGATTGACCCAAGGTAACACAAATAAATGATAATGGCAATGGCAGTGTTTAGACACAGGATTCCCATTTCAGATTTGTTTGATACAATGGAATCAAACTATTTGGAATCAAAAGATCTATGGGTGACTCTTGGCGCTAATACTTGCTACCTGCTTGCCTTTGGGCCTCGGTTTTGTCATCTTCAAAATGAAAAGGTTAGACTAGAGGACTTCTGAGGTCCCCTCTAGCTCTAATTCTGTAAATCTCTTTCCTCTATGCCATGCTGACAAAGTAGGATTAAATTAACCAAATCTCTCTTACAGCTCTTCCTCATGGAGCCATCTGTCACCAATTCATATCATATTACATACTTGAACTGTTTTGCAACAAACAACCACAGAAGCATCTATATCAACAGCTAAAGGTCAAACAGGTTACCTACCTTAGCAACATTACAAGATCAGCATCACTGGAGAGACGGACCAATCCAGGTGTCCCCTCTGTCCGGATAAACTGAATCTTCTCCCTAATCAAGTAAAGAGACGGTTCCAAAATGCCTTTTGTGAATAACAAGGCAAAATAAAGCAGACTAATAAGGAAAAAGCATAAGATATGAAAAGATGACCCCTCTCTTCTTCCCATCTCCCCATCTCTTATTTTTCAGATACTACTTTTTAATCCAGTCATGTCAATTCCATGAAAGTAAGAGAAACTTTTAATATAAGACCTGAAATGAAAGGGTTTTCTGTTGCCGTCATCTCTAATGCTGGAGCTGCTTCAGGTAGTAGGACCATTCAACTAATGGAAATACACTTTTCATGTCAATAGTATTTGTGGTACTGACTTCCCAGCAGTGTTCATGAGGAGGTTGCTACTTATAAAAGGCATCTTTTAAAAGGACAAGCTCCTTTTTTGAAGACATAAATTTAAGCTACACATGATATGCTCCTCATACAATAAAGTAGGCATCCTTATACATCTTTCTTCCGCTTGTAACACCCTGTTCTGATTGTCTATGTCATATACTCTCCAGGCCCTCTAGTCAACATCATAGATCTTATAGTAATCATTATATGATTTACATTTAAATAGAGGTTTAAGGCATGCCATGTACTTTACATGTATTTTCTTATTTGATCCTCACAATAACAGCCTTCTCTCTGTGGATTATCTCTAATTCATCCTATGTGTATATATATATATATATATATACACACACACACATACATACATATACACATATATCTTATTTGTATCTAGTTGTTTTCATGTTGTCTACACCAGTGGTATCAAACTCAAAAAGAAACGGGGCCACTAAACCATAGATAAGGATCCTTGTAGGCTGCATATTGACCTAGAAAACGACACATTTTATATATTTCTTTTTTATTAACACATTAACACACTGAAATCAGGTAGGAACTACATTTTAATCTTGTTTGGGCTATATTTAGGAGTGTTGGGGGCCGCATGCAAGCCATGTGTTTGCCATCTTTGCTCCATACTGTTAGATTATGAACTCCTTGTGAGCAGGGGTTGTCTTTTGTAGGATAGTAGTACAGTGCCTGGCACATAGTAGGCACTTAAATGTTTGAGTGACTGAATAACTTGGTGCTATTATAATGCCCATTTTTACAAATGAAGAAACTGAGGCTGAAAGAGGTCAAGCATCTTGTCACACAGCGAGTAAATGTCTGAGGCAAAATTTGAATTCAGGTCTTCCTGACTCTAAGTTCAGTGCTCTTTCTACTATGCCACATTAACTGCCTCTCGTCCTATGCATATTATTTCATTCCAGGTACAATGTTCATTAACTACAACATACATGCTTTTCAGGTATTTCATGGCCTTCCCCACTCAAAGATCTATCATATATTTCTTTAGCTTTCTTTGGCATTATCTATCTGATGTTACAAGGGCAATCTTTTCCTTTCTTAGCTTTGAGTTCCTCATCTTACCTATATATATATAGTTTTAATGAGAAACTCTCATGGTTGCTTTTCCCATTTTATCTAATACTCTTTCAGAGTGCTAAACTACTAATTTGGCTTTGGTTATAGAGGGAAAAAGACTATAAACCTCTTGAGAGTACTGAAAAAATATTAATGTGATTGGAATATAGAATCAAAAGTTGATAGAAACCCTTATCCTACTTATGATACATTCATTCTACTGTACTTTAGTAACAATGAAATAAACCCCCAGTTGTCTAAACACGTATAGATTTAGATCTCTTATATGTTTGAGGACCAAATCCTACTCTGAGACATTGTGGAAGAGTAGAGTTCTTGAAGGCTATGTCAGTAGAGAGCTAGGTCTGGAAAGTTATCCCACACTGGAATGGCTTCTAGTATGATCAGAATGACAGATTGTGCTAGCTGTCCAAAAAGTGACCTCATTAAGTCCAGAGAATCTGACACTATTAGGTTGGCTATGAAGTAAATTATTTGGCTGTGAAGACCCAGTAGAAAGAAATAATAAATGATCCACAATATTATGTGGCCCACTTCCATTTCTATAATGACAATTGAATAAAAGAGGACAGAGAGTTTTAGACAATCCACAAACATTAATTTGATCTTGCTGTTCTAAATGTAAAATCGGCATTCAACAACCAATGAGTCAAAACATTACTGAAGGAAATGAATCATATCCACATTGACATTCTCACTATAAATGAAGCCATAAGACACAAAGAAGTTGGAGCAAAATGGAAGCCCAATAGCTCATCAGAGTGGCAAGTAAAGAAGTCAAAGTTGGTTTTTTCATGTACCTAATGGCAACAAGAAGCATTATTTTCATGTGACATTTCATCAGCTCTCCTTTCAGTGCTCCTAATTAGCTTCTATGTAAGAGGACCACAAACAAGAGGATTGTAGCTTATGCACTAAAATGTCTCATAGGGGGTAAAGGAGATGGAAAATCCTATGAAAAACTTGACAAGATTCTCTAAGCCAAGTCAGCATACTTCTAAGTATGTGGTGACTACAACAAAAAAGATGAGCATAAAGAAAAATGGCTAAAAAAACAAACAAACCTATACATATACATTGGAAAATATAATTTAGGATTAAGAAATGAAAGTGACCAAAGTCTGTAAATTACTTAGGACCCTCATGCCTGTATGTCATGAACACTTTCTCCAAGAAGTGTCAGAAGGCAGTGGACATAGCAAGCAGTGAACAACATCCCCCAAAATAAAATGAACAATATCTTCACAGACACGTAACAACTGGTTACAGATGATAGAGCCAAACTGACAGGTTAGAGCAAAGACCAAAATGGACACCAAACCAGAAGTGGAGAAGTATATTTTATCAAGGTAAGACACGGCATGCAATTACAACAACTCTATGTTATCTATTTCAATATGCTGTCAATTTTTAAAAATGAGAAATGGATAAGACTAAAAGCACTGAATCTCATTATTACCATTTCTTAGAGAATTTCTATCATGTCTCGTCATGAAATGTCACAATAAGGAAGGCAAAAGAAACTGCATCAGTGAGCAATCATTTAATCTCCTTGCCAAGGGGTGAGACAAAATAGCCAAGGATGATGGATGAAGAGTTTAGAATATAAGTTCATTTGTAAAACAATATAGAAGGGAATGACAGAAGATTGTGGGTGGAACTTCATAATAAAACAGTGGGGAAAAAAGAGAAGAAAGGGAAGAGAAAAGAGCCTGTAGAAAGATTGGTGTGTGAAACCTAACTAAGCCAGATCAAGAACAAAAATTGAAACCAAAAAGCAAGATAAATGTGAAGATGGTGAGAGAGTAAATAGTTGCCTTCAGTGAGGCCTAGAAGAATTACATCTAAGGGTAGTGATGTAACCTGTAGATGTGATTGTTGATCCAATCTTTGAAAGAGTATAGAGATCAGGAAAAGTACATAGGACTAGAGAAGGGCACATTTTGTTCTGATTTTCAAAAAAGAGAAGGAAACAGAGTGGACAGTTGAGACTGGAAGGAACCCAAGAAGTAGATTTGAAATGGAAAAGAGTTGCTGGTACTCCAACTCTAACTTCTGATTATTTATGACAGTGAAATAACCACACTTGGACTCTGAATCTGAACACTCTCATGTTATATGAAGAAGCAGAAATAGTGCTCAAGAAAAAAGGAGGTGGGCAGGGCCTGACCAAATATGCACAGAAGGAACCCAGGCTTGAGGCGAAACTATTTTACAGGTACTTAGAATATTAATTTTCAAGATATATCAAAGATGGGAAAATGCTTAAAAGTATGGAAAAGATTTTCAATATTACTTTCTTAAAAGGTAGCCAAGAAGATGAAGGAAAATGCCCACACACAATTCTCCTTTATGGGACTGGCCTTTACACATATTAAAGAAAATAAGAAAAGAGAGGAGGAACATTGGCTTTCTTAGACGAACCTTTAGAGTGGATCACATTTTCACGATCCCAAATTGATGGAGAAATATTCAGGGGCAGCAAGGTGGGGCAGTGGATAGAGTGCTGGGCCTGGAGTCAAGAAGTTTCTTCTTCCTGAGTTCAAATCCAACCTCAGACACTTATTGGCTGTGACCCTGGGCAAGTCACTTAACCTTGTTTGCCTCAATTTCCTCATTTGTAAAATAAGCTGGAGAAGGAAATGGCAAACCACTCCAGTAACTTTGCCAAGAAAAACCCAAGTGGGTTCATGAAGAGCTGGATGTGAATGAAAAATGACTGAACAACATAGTGGATACAAATGCTATTGTATTAATTATTTGTTGATTACCAAAAAGCATTTGCTTTAGTATGATGAAATGCAGTCTTAAAAATTCCAACAAGAAGACTTTTGTTAAGATAATACAAGATTTCTTGATCCATTCAATCACAGAGATACTTTTGTTCTATAATCCTCTGACTAATAATGCAGAATATAAACTCCTGGAGAACAGGGGCTATTTCATAAGACCTCATGGGCTATTTGGTCTAGTCCTCTCATTTTATAGTTGAGGAAATTAAGGCCCAGGTAGGTTAAGTGAGTTGCCTAAGATGCTACAGGTATCTGGGCAGGATTTGAACCCAGGTCCTCTGACCACAGAGCCAGAGATGTATCCATACCTATCCTAATGCCTTGTACATTGTGATTGTTCAATAAAAGTTTACTGAATTGAATTGAATTAACCAAGATACAAAGCAGAAAACAAATGCTAAGAATAGTGATTGTCATTGTCAAGAAAGATGCCCTGTGCATCATCCAGATGAAAAAGGGATTCCCTAAAGATGCTTCTGTTTCTGGATGACATTTTACTCACTGCAAGGCCCAGAGTATTGAATCAGCAGCTACTGCACAGAGGGACCGTTTGACTAATCTGTAGTCAACAAGTATGCTAGGAGACTATAAATGAAATTTTCTTTTTTTCCCTTTTTTTTTGACATTTCTACAGTATTTTAAGTTTTGTAGAATGTTTTCTACACATTAATTCATTTGATTCTCACAATAACTCCATGATACAGGCACCACAGACTTTATTATACTTACTTTTATACATACAGAAGAAATCAAAGCTCAGA